ACTTGTGGTTACCAAGGGGGAGGGGGCTGGGGGGAGAGATGGACTGGGATTTTGGGGTTGATAGATGCAAACTATTACATTTAGAATGGATAAGCAACAAGGTCCTAATGTATAGCACAGGGAACTATATTCAATATCCTGATAAACCATAATGGAAAAGAATTATAAAAAAATAATGTACATATATGTGTACGTATTTGTATAACTGAGTCACTCTGCTATACAGCAGAGACTGGCACAATATTGTAAATCAACTATACTTCAATTTAAAATAAAGAAATAACCGTGCTTCCCTGGTGGCGCAGTTGTTGAGAGTCCACCTGCCGATGCAGGGGACGCAGGTTCGTGCCCCGGTCCGGGAAGATCCCACATGCCGCAGAGCTGCTAGGCCCGTGAGCCATGGCTGCTGAGCCTGCGCGTTCGGAGCCTGTGCTCCACAACGGGAGAGGCCACAACAGCGAGAGGCCCGCGTACCGCAAAAAAAAAAAAAAAAAAAGAAAGAATTAACCATATTAAGAGCATATATAATAAATATAATATATCCCAGTATGGGGGCACATGTTAAGGGCATAGTACACAGGTAAGGAATAGGGGAGTGTCTGTGAGCACCTGTCCTCTGCTGCCTCTCCCAGGCCCAGCACAGCTGTTTGATTCCCATCACACACAGGGAAGCCTCTGCTCTGCCGACCCCCACCTCACCCACACCCCACCTCCCCAGAGAGCCAGCCCCAACCTTTTCCAGGTTCTAGAAGGAATGCTTCTGGTGCTGGAGGGCTCACCCAGGGTGACTGAACAGGGGTTGGGGCAAGACTGGGGATGTGTTTACGTGATCTAGAAAGTGAAAAGCCAATCCACAGAATAGGAGGAAATAATTGGAAATCATATATGTGATAAGGGAATTGTATCTAGAATGGATTTTTAAACACTCCTACAACTCAAGAATAAAAAGATGTTATCCAATAAAAGTGGGCAAAGGAGCTAAAGAGACATTTCTCCAAGAAAGGTACGCAGGGAGCCAATAAACACATGAAAAGATGCTCAACACCATGAGCCACCAGGAAGTGCAAACCCAAACCACGACGAGGTATCACACCCACTAGGGCAGTTGGAATCAAAAAGTCAAATAACAACGAGTCTTGGTGACACGTGGAGAAATCAGAATCCTCATTCACTGCTAGTGGGAATGTAAAATGGTGTAGCTGCTGTGGAAAAAGGTCTGGCAGTTCCTCAAATGAGTAAACATACAGTTACCACATGACCCAGCAATTCCACTCCCAGGGATCTAGCCAAAGAGTTTAGAACAGCTTCAAACACATACTTGTACACAAATGTTCACAACAGCCAAAAGGTGTTAGCCACCCAAGTGTCCATCAGCAGATGAATGGATAAACATGGGGTCCATCCTTACACAGGAATATTATTCAGCCTTAAAAAGGAAATTCTGACATATGCTACAACATGGATGAACCATGAAAACATTATAAATGAAGCCAATCACAAAAGACCACATATTGTATGATTCTATTTATATGAAATATCCCAAAGAGGGAAATCTCATAAGACAGAAGTAGATTGGTGGTTGCTTAGGGCTGGGGTAGGGGTTGGGGAGATAGGGGGCGACAGGTAAAGGGTACAGGGTTTCTTTTTGAGGTAGTGAAGATATTCTTAAAATGACTGCGACAGGAGTTCCCTGGTGGTGCAGTGGTTAAGAATCCGCCTACCAATGCAGGGGACACGGGTTCGATCCCTGGTCCGGGAAGATCCCACATGCCACGGAGCAACTAAGCCAGTGCGCCACAACTACTGAGCCTGCAAGCCACAACTACTGAGTCCACATGCCACAACTACTGAGCCCGCGCACCTAGAGCTCGTGTTCTGCAACGAGAAGCCACCATAATGAGAAGCCCGAGCTCGCCACAACTAGAGAAGGCCCACACCCAGCAACGAAGACCCAATGCAGCTAAAAATAAATACATAAATTTATTTTAAAAAATGACTGTGATGATGGTTGTACAACTCTGTGAATAGGAAAAGCCATTAAAGTGTACACTTCAAATGGTGAATGGTATGGTACGTGAGTTATATTTCAATGAAGCTTTTTGAAAAAAAAATACACACTAAGCTGTTTAAATAAAAACAAGATTTGTGGCTACTGGCTATCATACTGGTCAGCACATGCCTCCGTGAAAGAAAAACACCAGAAAAATCAGAGCTTGCAGGACACTGAAAACTGCAAGTATTCACTCTGAGAAATCAGACATGGTAGAAAAAAAAAAAACTGTGGACTAAAATTGACAGAAGAATCAAATCTTCTTAGCAAAAGTGAGCTCTGCAAAACCTGGCCAGGGAATCTTGCCATAGAAGGAAACTTCAAAAAGATGCAAAGCTAGCTTAGGTGAGTAAGGTGAACCCAGCCACACAAGTGAGAGCTGACTCAACCCTTCCACCTCACCATGAACTTGAGAGCTGTGTGCTTTCAAGTACTGGCCAGAATTCGGGCGGGAAGCTCGTTTCACACCCCGGGGAGCCACTCTGAGGACAATGTGGCATTTTCTATTACAATCGAAAATGTATCCATCAGTTGTCTTCTTGGGCTTAAAGAACACGCGTTGGTACATGCAGAGATCTAAAAACTCACAAAAGCAACTGGAAATTTTGATGGCTTTCAAGGAGCTCAACCAAATGACATGAGGACTGGCATGGAAGACCTCTTTTTCACAGTATACCATTTGGTGCCATAAGTTGCCCAGTTTTTAACAAGGAGAATTTGTTCACTTAACTACACAAATTGAGGTAGGCTGGGACCTGGGACCCTTTGCTGCAGTGCTTGCACCTGGACAAACATCTCCTGGAGCACCAGAATCTCCGCAACAGAATACAGAGAAACTATAAGGGACTAAAAATAACTGCATCCAAGCATAGTTGTGGCGAATTCTGAACAAGATATAAAATGACCAAAAACCCAGTTGCTACTTCTGAGGTGCTGGGGGAAAAGCAGTGTACTGTGCATGATACCTGCACACAGCACCACCAAGGGCGTGAGGCCACCTATGCCACCCCTCTGGGGGGACCCATGGACCTGCCCCCCCATCCCATTTAAAGGACCAGCTCCCCCACCTCAGGGAGCGAGCAAGGGCCCCCGATCCTTGTTTTCTCTCCTTCACAGCACGAGTCCCAGTAAAGCCCTGCCTGAATTCCTCATCTGGCTTCCTATCAATTTCTATTGATTAAAGAGTCCAAGGAGCCAAGTGGGTAACAAAAGTAAAACACTGAGAAAAAAAATACCACATACAAAGGAGATGTCTGGAACTAATTACATCTTAACATATATACTGGTTCTCTGCCCCCTGGTGGGACCTTGGCAGTGTCTGGAGACAGTTTTGAACGTCACGACTGATTGGGGAGGGGCTGTCACTGGCATCTGGTGAGTGGAGGCCAGGGATGCTGCTCAACACCCTACAGTGCACAGAACGGCCCCCCAAAAAGAACTATCTGGTACTGACCTGGGGTATAAAAACTAAATCCCAAACACACACACACACACACACACACACACACACACACACACACACACAC